GGTGCTGCTGGGAGCGTGAATCAGTACAGCCACTGCATGGACAGCATGTGCCGCTCCTTGGCACCCTCCCAGGAAGCATGTGTACCGCAGGACACTGGCACGGCCGTGTGTGCTGGGCCAAGGCCTGCTGTCCAGGGCCACTTGCCCCTCTGGGCTGGCCACCATCAGCAGTCCCCACTGGGTCTAAGTCACCAGTGTGCTCCCACAAGACCATGAACAGAGGTAGGTACCGGATGAGACAAACAAGAGTGGCTTATTTATTAAAAAATAACATTTCTGCATCGTAGTATTAGAAATACGGCACTTACCAGTTAGCTGAATGCTGTGCCTCTCCAAGGGAAACTCAGAATAGTTTGTGCTCACTCTTTCCCCAGTAGGCAAACGTATGACAGGGGAATCTGTAAGAGAAAGAAAAGGATTACACATGGTCGCCAGGACTACAACAACTATGTAAACGCCACTTAGCAACAGAGAAAATGCCAGTGCGCACCTCAGTGAAAATTATTCCCAGGAGCCTCTTGAGTCCTACAGGGTCCAAAGATACTCAGGAATATGCCCGACCACAAAACGTGACCAAATTGCCCACTTCTTTTCCCTGTGTCCCTTATTTATCTAAAAGTTTCTGATTGTGCCAGGCATGGTAGCGCTGCACTTGGGAGGCCGAGGCACAAGGATCCTCACGAGTTTGAGGCCAGCCTGGGCTCCACAGTGAGTTCAAGGCCATCCTGGACTATAGAGTGAGTCCTGTCTCAAAAAAAAAAAAAAAAAAAAAAAAGTCAATTTTTTCTTTAAAAAACTTAAATTAGCTATTATACAATTAGCTTTAAAAAAAAAAAAAAAAAAACAAAGGAATGGCAGACACTGAAGAAAGAGAGAAGAGTGACCAAAAGAGACAGACTGAGGAAAAGGCCCAGAAATCAAGGCGGGAGAAGGGAGCCTCCCCCAACAAGGGAGGGAGTCAGCATGCACAGGGAGCCAACAGGACCAGCCCACCAAAGCCCACTGAGCGCACCACAGTACACTGTGGCCCACCGCGGGCTTCCTGCAGCTGATAACAAGGAACAGTACATCGCAAGCTTCTGGCTGGGTCGTAAGGAAGAGAAACCCTGTCTTCCACCAGGCTCGGTGGTACACGCTGTAATCCTAGCACCAGGGAGGCAGAGGCCAAAGGATCTCCGTGGTTCCAGGCTGGGCTAGGCTACATAGTGACTTCTAGGGCAGCCAGGGCTATATATATAGTGAGCCCCCCCAAACAGGATTGTTTCCTGTTCATCTTCACCTCTCATCTCTCCCCCTCCAGCACATACACACACGCACAGCAAAAAAAGGTTCCCAACAAAAATCCTTCTCATAACGAAATTTTTCCTGCACTCCAATCACAGTCTATTTAAATAATTTATTAAGGAAGACAGACCTCAGGAGCACTGACTGAGGGAGGCGCTGCCCACACAAGGGAGCCAGGCGCAGGCAGCCGGGAGGGACAATGTGATCTGCGGTCCTCTGCTCTGCGAGGCCACGTCACGAGCTTCGCCACCCAGCTCCGGGCTGGTGGCCGCGTCTTGGCCCAGCTCGCCGAGCCCAGCAGGGCTGAGCAGGCCGCAAGCCCTGGGCATGTAGCAGCGTCCACTGACATCCACACCGCCACCATCGCGAAGAACGGCATCAACAGCAGCAAGCGCCCTTTCATCCCGATTTCCCCCACACAAGCAACACGCAGGACCTCATTAACCCTGGACACGGACCATGAGCAAAAGGCTACACGGATCCTGACTACAGCTGTGCGGGCCACCACTGGGGTGCGAGTCACTGAGGTCTGGAGGGCCTCCTCAGGCTGCTGCCCCAGCCTGTGTGTTTCGTGCAAGCTCTGCAGAACCTGGATGCGCTGAAGGCAACACCAGTGGAGGAGCGGAGGCTGGCTGTTCCCTGTGCTCACCAGCGACAGCAGAAGAACAGCTAGGATCAACAGGGGAACAAGGAGAGAAAGGGGCTCTAAGCACTGCTTGGGCAAAATCTAAGCTTAAAGCACTGGAAGGAATAGGAGAGGGAAAGAAACAAGAGGGATAGCTCCAGGATGCGCTGGTTGTTCCGGCCACTTCCACACGCTGCGGCATGCACTGAAATTCCAACCCAGCACCCAGCAGCTCAGCAGAGTCTGAGCTTAGCGTTCTCTTCAAGGGACGGAGCTCCACCACTTTCCAGCCCGCACTACACAAAGGCCAAGTACAGCGACTGTGGTGCGGGCTTCGCAAAGAGTCTGCAGGAAGCAGACAGGAGCTCAGGAACAGCCTGGCGACACCGTGAGGTCGCATGAACCTCACTACCCGGCCCTGTCTCACAACCCACAAGGAAAGAAGGGACAGGACACTAATGCCCTAAGCAGGGAGGGCCGCTCGGCCTACTCACACCTCACACAGGCGCTCACCGCTCTCCTCCACTCTGCTCTCCGGCTGCGGCTGCCTAACACTAAGGCGCAGGGGCCAGGCTCCCAGGGGTCACGGCCCTACGCAGCAGCCCTACAGCAGGGGGAAGCTGGAGCGCTTTCTTCACTGACCCTGGCTGCCCTGTTCCCTCCTGCACTCTTCCAGCTAGCAGGAAAACCACCGACACAGAGAAGAGTAGCTCCTGATGGTTGTGGCAGGCACTACAAATTTGTTGTCTTCCACTATCAGGGAGCAGGCATCAGAGAGCTCTGCAGCCACCTCCTTCTCCCCTCTGGTCACTTCATACAGTTTTGTGGGGCTTTTGGGGTTTTGCTTTTGTCATTTTGAGACAGGGTCTCACTCTGCAGCTCACTTAGTAGCCCAGCCCGGTCTCGAACTCCCAAGGATCCTCCTGTCTCAGCCTCACAGTCTGGGATGACAGGCGTGCACCACCACACCTGGTCTCAGTGGCCAGCACAGGGCGCCTGAGGTTCCAGGACCAGCACAGCATGTGGTACCAGAGAGCGAACCCAGTCCTTGTGCTTGCCAGACAGGCACTTAGACCAACGAGTTTGCTCCCCAGCTCCACATGGCTGCATTTTAAAACAGATATCATGAAAAGGGGCTTATAAAGGACGCTATGAACACTTTCAAGTGACAGAAAAGTGCCTCTGTAGCTACAAAAGAATTAAGGTAGTTATCTTCACACATTTAACTTAGGGGTTTTGTTTTTTCATTTATGTATTTGGCACAGGGTCTCACTATGCAGCTCAGACTTGCAGTGATCCTCCTGCTTTCAGTCTCCCCTGCGCTGGGATTGCACGCGTGCACCACCACACCCAGACCCGGTCACCAGCTCAGCTTGTCCCGGGGGCATGGCCTGCGCGTCATGCAGGACTAGGAACAAACCCAGGTCCTTGTACATGCCCAAGCAGGTGCTTAGTCTACTGAGCTATCTCGCCAGCCCAGGTTTCATTTAATTGAAGCAAATTATTTAAAAAAAAAAAAAAAGGTTAAGAAACATGAGGAGGGAGTTGCTTTCATCTAAATGAGCTTTACTATGTTTCCTATACAAACAAACACCCCCAAACCTCTCCATTACACTTCAGCATTTTGCAAAGAGTCTGAAATTTGTTTATAAACTAGGGTAGGCAAGCTCGAGGGCAGTTCAGTGGTAACTCTGGCTTAGAAGGCACCACAGCTCGGCACCTGCTAAGCCAGCCCTAGCAGGTTTGGAAATCAGAACGTATTTCATCACGGCAGCAACATTACTTGTAGCCATGAGATTGCGTGTCAAAAGGCAAATGCACGTAAGCCATGATACGGCTGAGCCTGAGAAACCGCGTAGAGCTGTACTTCTGGGCTCCAGGAACCTAGTGCTCCAGTCCCCTGTAGAAGGAAAAGAACAAAGCTCCTGTAATGCTGGACATTGTCTTCTACAGAGAATTTGTCAAGACAGAAGAAGAAAGATCAAGAAAACCCAAGTATCCTGGTAAGGCCATCTATGTTACTTTTTATATGTCAGAGACAGCAGCAGTTCAGATAGAAACTGGTGCTTTTAAACAATATGGTAGCTGCTTTTTAAAACTGGACCCATATCATCCGCCATGCACTAAACTGAAAATGGATCAGAGACCTAAATATTAAAACAGAAGCATTAAATCTGATGGAAGACAGAGAGGTGAAACTCTTGAAGACACTTGTGTAGGCAGAGACCGCAAATAAAACTCCCAACGTACAGGAACCACAACAAAGACAACTGGGGTCTCATCTTACTAAAAAGCCTTTGCAAGCAAAATAAACCACCAAGAGAGTGAAGAGACACCCACAGTGCAAGAAACAATGTTTGCCAGTTGCTCCTCAAAGGACTACTATCTAGAACATGTAAAGAACTTAAAAAGAAGAAGAAGAAAAAAAAAAAAAAAAAACCAGACCTCCCAAGTGTAAAGACCCAATCCAAAAATGGGCATCTGAGGCGAATGAAGAAATACAAACAGCAGGGCCAGGGAGATGGCTCAGTGGAATAAGCGCTTCCTTGGCAAGCGTAAGGGCCTGAGTTCAATCCCTGGTTCCACCAAAAAAAAAAAAAA